TAAGTGTGTCGCAGGATACCCTCTAGGTGATAGTTTTTGATTACTTTTTAATAGGAGCACTATTTATCAATCTGTAATAAAAGACGTGAGGAAATTCTGTCTTTTTTAAAGACAAACATTTTTGAGGCGAAATACCCAAAAAAAAAGTTTGTAAAAAATTCGTAATTTAATTTTGATGACTGGAACAGTGAGGCAAATTTAAATCAATCCTCTAATTGAATTAATTTTGCTTTTTTCGGACCCCTAAGATAAATTATCTGTTGCCAATGTATTATTCTTTTGCAACCAAATGAGATAACATTACAACTAGCACAAGATTATTCCTCATTTAATAGTACTTCTAAATTCTATTACTTCATCATTGTTGCAACCGACTATAAACAACTTGTAGATCTTAAAAATCGTCTTCACGTGTACCTTAGAAGAATAATCACATCTTCTAATACGTTCGCCCCTCTTCGCCTAAGTATTACTTAATCTAGCGCATTTTTGGTTAGTGGGTGGACGAAAACGATCTGCAAATGGGGTAAGTCTATATATAAACATCAATCATGGTGGTGCAGATTTAGTGCTCTTCGGCTGTGCTTTTATTTGGATTTAGTTTTTCCATAGTATAAGTAAGTTGACTCATTAAGTGAATTTCGCTTGAAGTATAATTGGAGTGGATTTTATCAATTTAGTGTTTCTATTTTGCGTTTCATTCGGATTTTAAATAATCGATCGGTATAGTACTAGTTTATTAATTTCCTTATTAAATAAACAAAAAGTGCGTGGGTAAATTTTCGGGCAATCGTTTAAAACTATTTTTGGCCAAATATTTTAGTAAACGTTTTCCAGAATTAACTTCGATTGAAAAAGGCGTTTGGTTTTATTCTTTCATCTGCAGACTGAATAATAATCTATGAATGGTAAAGTAAGTTAAACAAAAATTTGTCATTGCAAAACGCGGGTTTGCTTATGAAGAGTTTAGACACTTTCGCAATGGTCCGCATATACCGAAACTTCGACTGTATTTCGAAAGCTTAACAAGTGGAGCATACAAAAATATTATTGTTAATATTATTCCTCTATTTGTAACTTTTGCGGAGATGCGGCAATAATTTGTTAAGCGCACAAACAATTTGCTTGAAAATAGCGCTCTCATATCAGTGATAAACTTTATCGAGTTCATTATTATTTGAATTGCGAAAAAATACTCTAATTGTTCAACAGAACTACTAGGTTATTTTAATAAATCAAAATTTATTGGAAATTCACTTAGATCATAATTCGAGAAAAAGACAAGATATGGTAGTCCTCTCAGAAAATAAATTAATGTTATCTCAGTCGACAACGTATCGACATATAATACTATTTCGGTATGGATAGAAGAAAATATAATTGAAGTGGACAGAAAAAAATATATTATTGACAAATTTGATACTTATTTATACCGCGCATAAAAAATTACAACTTATGAAGTTTACTTATAGGAATTTTTAGCATTTTTCGTAGTTTCCTATTATTTGAGCAGGCACCAATTCATAAAAACCCTGAAAGGATTATTATACATCCATGACTAATGACTGCTAAGTTCAAATTAAATCTTGGAATTAAAAAAACATATATCTGATAGATGCGTTGATAAAGTACTAAATGAAGGCAAAAAAGATTGCATATAAATACAATACGACCATTAAGCATTCACCTTAGAGAGATATCTTTTATAAATTGCATCCTTGGCAGGCGAACAAATGAAACCAAATTAGACTTCTTATTAAAGATTATATCTGACTTTATCTGGGAAAACGAAGACAATTAAAGTTTTCTATGAAGTTTGGGTATGTTATGACCTACGTAGTACGAGGAGTACTCCAATACTGAGAGATAAAATACAAATTATTTCGTTTTATTTGTTAATTTAATACAAGACTAACTGTTTTTTTTGTACTTTAGGGAACAAAATGGAACGCATACATTACGGACTAGGTAAGCATAATATATGTACAAAATGAAATGGTGTATGGTAATCGCATATGCTACATTCAAAAACATCACTCATATGGTCCACAAGTTTCATATAGCAGAGGTACACTTAAAAGAGCGCTTGCTAAAGAATAATTTATTATTTAATTGCTCAACGACGGCAGGTAAAAGAATGAAACTCGGTACACATGTTAGGTCTCACACGATTAATTTAAATAACAATAAAAAAATTGCTAGTATAAATACTGGGGACGTTCAAAAATTGAAGCCCCATCGTTTTACAAGGTAACTTTGAGGGAACATCGGAAACTTTTCCTGAAACGATTGAAAAATCCAAGTAATTTTAAATATCCAATATGAAATGAAGAAATTCTTTTAAAATTTGGTAGGATAGTGAGGATAAAACTCATAGAAAAATTCGGCCGAAAATTTCAACACAAGCATTGTATTAAAATAATGAAATAATTCAAGAGCTACTAACTTTTTTTAAGTTTCAAAATTTTCTACTTAAAAACTGTGTAGTTGCTGATGAAGCTAGTTTTTATAAATGTTTCATGTCATTTCAGTTTCATGCTCTTACTTTTCGTTGTAAACACATTGAAAAATAGATACTCGTTGAGGGAGTGCACCACAGTACCGGTTTTTGAAGCGGATCAAGAGTTAGCCGCTTCTTGGACCGGACTGTGAGTTAGCCGGTTATTTCTCTCAACCGTCGATATATGCCAATGATGATAATTTTGTGATGTTTTTGGGTGTAAAATATGTTCTCAAAGTCTTGAAAATTTAAATACGTGAACAAAGCAATTCCAAAATAACTTTCTAATTCGTTTCCTTCTTTCTAAAGTAGTCTGCAAAGTTGTAAGTTGCAACTGTAAGGAATGAAAAGGGGATCGAGTTTGGCCTGTTAGCTACATAAGATTCAGCAGAGTCCAGCTGTGTGGATTGTTTTATCACTTTGCCTTTCATTTGTGCCAGTTTTTCCGTTCTTTTCATCATTTGTCATCTTTTCATTACAGTGTTTAGTTTTCTCGTCGTTTTATGTCCATCTGCTATTGTAGTTTGAGAGTAATTTTTAAGGGTTTTTTCATGAAATCGTTTGAATTACGTACACACATAGTTGCGAAGCTTGTTTCAGTGAATTTACTTTGTATGCTGTTTCCTCTCGACGCTGTGATATTAATGTTCGATATTGGTTTTTCAAATTCAGTAATTGTAATTAGTATGTACGTGTTGTATAACTGGCGTTCCATTTATTTACCAAATTGAATTCTATTGATTTTATGATTAAATGAAATGGATTTCTTTTCCGTCTTCCGGTTCTAAGCGATTCAAAATTTTTGTAACGTGAAATTATTCTATTTTTTATCGTTGGTTCCAGTTCCTCGGCATGCCTTTAACCAATTTTTCTTCCTACATTGGCCTATAGGTTGTTAACATTTCGTTTTAACCAGTAATTCTGATATTGTAGATGTAGGTTCTATATACAAGTTTCATTTCATGTTAATATTATATTCAGTATAAATTTAAGTAACGTATAAAGCGTAAACCATTCCATGGCGTAAATTTTGCTGTGGCCAAAGAATATTGTTATTGGACCTCTTGTATCGTTATATTTTGCCATTGAATTATTTGTGTTTATATTTGGTGATCCAATTGTTGCGTTGCTTTGTCTGAATCTCTTTTGGTTAGCTTTAGCTCTGATTTCGGGTCATTTAGGATGCATTGATTGCGTTTGTTGAAAAATTTGCGACCAAAAATCACTTGTTCTTAATTCCGATTACAAATATAATATTGCAATTTCAATAATTTCCATAAGTCAATTTTCGTTCCGAGTAACGATGTAAAAAATGAGCACATTTTCCGCATTAGTAATGCAGTTCTGCATAACTCAAAACCGTTGCCGAGAGAAGCATTGTTGAGATCAAAAGGAAAATGTAGGCTGGTATTTGAATATCATTAACTGAATAAGATAATTCTCCTCTACACTACTTAAGCAGGTTTTTGCCAATCCATTATATTCAGATTCTCACAAAAGTTCTTTACATGCACTTATATGGGGTATTTAATATTTTACTGCTATTTTATTGCACATTTGGAAATAATCTGAGAACTATTTTCAAAAGTTAATTAGTTTTGACAACAATTTCTCATACAATCATGTTTAATTGTAGCACTTCTGCTGTTATCATCAAATATATTGGTAAGTAAAATTAAACGTATTCCTAATATCAGGTAAAAACTTTATTTTAACTATACTTATCCTGAATGCTTTCCATTTACCACATAAGTACAGGTAGGCGATTACGAGAGATTGTATAAAAGCCATATCATTGGACCGGAAATATAAAACCTATAAACTATAAAAAGTGAAAAGAAATTGCCTAATGTTCATTAATAACCAGCAATAAAAACAACACCAATCATCATACAGGGTAATTCAAAATTGACGTCATTTATATAGAGCTGTATGCAAGGAGCACAGAAAAAAATCAAAGTAAATTCTCAACAAAAACTGTTAGAAAGTAAAAATATGTTTTTCCAATTCATGACAAGCGCCGTCGTGTATCACCCGACCCTTTTACCCTTTTATAGGAAACTAATATTTCGATATAAAAACGTTGAACGTTGACATGGGTAGCAAAAACAACTACAAAGCTTAGTTCTAAATATTGCATAGGAGTGCAGTAATTTCTCCACATTTTTTACCCTCTAATTGAGACCCAATAACCATCTTATAGTGTTATTCCGACAATATTTTCATGTGAAGGGCCAATACAATTATCCTACTCCTGCAACTCCCTTTAATGGAGGTCCAGCGCCACAGCAAACCAGTAGCGGGGATTTTCCTCAGCAATCTTCAACAGGAGCAACAGGTTATCCCAGCTCTGGAACATTAAATTCGAACAATTATCAAAATCTAGGAGGTTCACCCCAGCGACCAGCGCTTGCACGACCGCCAGGTCAACCTAATGAATACCCCCAGAGACCTCAAAGCGGCGATATTCCAAGTGTGAAACCCACAGGTAAAACTTGTCAAGTTGGCTAACAAATCTAATGGTAAAATAATAGAAAAATTGTCTGTATATTTAATCCTGATTTATTTTCCTGACTGCGTGTACTTGTTATGATATTCTTATCTTTCCTGGGTATCAGTCAAAGTGTGAAGTAAAAATTTTTGAAACATTGTTTATTTTATTACGTTTCGGCGAGACAACAGCGCCATCATCAGATTTAAAATTTACACACACTACAAACACCAATTCACAACTAAACCATGTTGTATAAAAATTATTTACAAAGTGTTAAAACATTCATCAGTTTTCGAGGGAAAATATTTTTCCTTTTGGAAGAGCAAAATTAAATTTTTGAAATTTTATGTTGCATAATTTTGATTTTGACAACGCAGATATTATTATTTTTTACAAACTTCTTTTTGGGTATTTCGCCTCAAAAATTTTTGTCTTTAAAAAAGACAGAATTTCCTCACGTCTTTTATTACAGATTGA